TATATACAGTATTTGTGTGTGTGTGTGTGTGTGTGTGTGTGTGTGTGTGTGTGTATATGGTGTGTCACTGCCTCGTCCCCGGTGCTCTCGTCTTTGTCTTTGAATGACAAAAGGAGCCGTTTAAGGGCTCGTGTTGTCCATTTTGTGTTTAAGAGACCATCTCAAGGGTGGGGTTGTGGGGCGATTATGAGGCAAGGAGTGGGGGGGGGGTCACCAGAGAAAGTCATTAGCAACCTCCAGCAGCTCAGACGTGATAATACCCTGAAGATTTACACTATTGTCTGCTTTCTTTGTCTTTTTTGGGAGGGGGAGGGGGCAGTAGTTGATGTCTTTTACGTTTGATGGCAGCCGTGTTGCCCCCTCCCTGACTAATGAGGCTGAGCAGCCATTCGACTTCTCATACTCCATCAATCAAGACCCACTTTCTTTGTTTAAAAATAATCAAGGAAAAGTCAAGTGAATTCATTTGTTGGGCACCCTCGTAAAAAAGTCTTTTGAAAATATTTGAAGTCACATTATAACTGCTGGACAAGTTTCAATGGATTTTGGACTTTTGGGGGAATTTTTTTCAGGCCTGTGCCGATTCCGATATTTGCCAGAAGAAAATAATTTTTTGCTGATTTGAAAACAACCTGTTCAGGCCCCAATAAAAACATGCAGTCGTGACACGATTCAATAGAACGAAACGAATTAAACAGGTCTAGCCCCATTTTTTTGCATCAGTCGAATGACCATTGTGCTGCTCCTTCTGATGTGCACACCTTGGCCACCAGAGGGCACCATCACGCAGACAAAAGGCGATACATGGAGCCGGTCAAAATTCCGCAGTTAACTACAGTATAGATGTCATTCTTCACAGAGGATAAAGAATACATGTCCGTGAGTGTTGCCGCAGCGTTTGTCTTCACAAATCCGTTGGTGAAAGAGTTCTAACGCAGCAACGCCAATGCTCGCATTTTGCATTGTTTGCTTGCATGAATGATTTGGAGAAACAGGCAGGTCATAATAGATTCACTCATTTTCATTTCACACTTGATGGGTGGCCAGACTCTCCGGAGACCAATTTGTCCACACCAAAAAGTCAAATGAATCGAATGTCGCCATTTGTTGCTGTTTACTTCGCAGATGATTCAACAGCAGTCGTTTTGCTTGGTGATTAAAAAGCAGCGTGAAAGCCGGCAGGTCCGCGTGGAGCGTCTCCGTGTGACGCCACGCAAAACATCTGCTTCTGCTTCAGCCAGCATGGGGTCGCCCCCGCTAAGCCTCCGAACCCCTGCCGGGTGAGGGCCTGGCAGGGCAGGCGGGACGGAGATTAGAATGCGCTTGCACAACATCTGAGGAGACACTTTGTTGCTCTTCAGGGTTTGTGTTTGTCCTCGATAGTGAGGCTGGGTCATTTGGCCTTCAAATGAAATCTCAAGGGCCCCCGCCCCCATTAAAAAAAAAGATTTCTGTGACATTTGGAGATTGGAACACTGTCGAGCAACACGTGTCATCCAAGAGCAATACTCATAGGTATCTATTCTTTGTCCTCTGCGAAGAATGACGGATATTCGTGCAGCTGACCGAGGACCTGAGACCGTCACACTGGCTGTGCTTTTGTTGACTCTCGCCACTCTGTTTAGTGCCAGCGGAAATCTGCTGAGACAAAGTGTTGATTCTGCAGAGAGCAAATCTTGATTCGGCAGCTTGAAAGTTGATTTTCTGCGTGGTCACACTTTCATTCAGCAGTCACTCTCTTTTTTCCCGCTCCTAAACAAGGACTATCCCAGGGCTGGAAGCTTAACATCTGGGCGGGGGGGGGACCAGGCTGTCGGCCCACAGAGTATTTATGGCAGTATTCCGCTTGTGATGTGGAAGCAAGGTACAAGTTGAGGTGCAGGCCAAAGATGGACTGCTAGCGTTGAGAAAACATGAAAGACGTTTCATTTCGTGTTCGAAAGAGGTTAGCAAAAGGTCTTGTTTGAAGTCACATTTTCTCAACCGCCATACAAATGTCAAAAATAGTTGTCCACTCCTTTCAAAAAAAAAAAAAAAAAAAGTCATTGGTCAGAAATGTAATCCCGTGTTTGGCTTTTTCATGCACGTGTGCATTTTGAAAGGAAGTGACCTTCGACACATTGACGTTGTCATTTTCAAGTTGGCAGCGTCTGCCATCTGCTCTGTCAAACAACTGAAACCTCTCTCTCTTTCTCTTTCTCTCTCAGGGGGCACACAGGTGAGGCATTCGCAAAGACGTTGGCCCATCTGCCAGTCGGTGTCTCAAGTGCCGGATGCGAGCAAGTCGCCGGGAGGATCGACGAAGGGAGGAAAAGAAGACGGCTTTTCAAAGAGGAGTCCGCTTGCTATTTCGGCTGCGCTGCGGCCAGGGAGTGTCTCGCTCGGGAGGGCTTTCTGACACAAAGAGGGCCGCCCACCTCGTCGTGTGTAAATCCTGGATATCAATTTGCCTCAGTGCTGAGATTACTGCCCTTTTGAAAAAAGAAACACCAAACTTAAACACTGTGCTTTCTTCAAACGCGACCCTCCAATTTCCAGGAATGAAAGTCACGTGTTGAAAAAAAAAAAAAAAATTCAAAAAAAAAAAAACCAAACTAGGCGACAGCTTGGATGTCTTTCCAATCCCATTGAATCAACATGAAGCCGTTGACTCCCATTGGATCGCCGTCCCCCCTTCGGCTCCTCAACAAGGGTCCGGACTACCTGCGGCGGCAGATGGACGCCGGGGGCCACGGTCGAGCGATCAGCGCTGTCGAGAGGCTGGAGGCGGACAAGGCCAAGTACGTCAAGAGCCGGCAGGTCATCAACGCCAAACAGGAACCCGTGTCGGTGCTGTGCGCCACCCCGCCGCCGCCGCCCCGAAGGCTTTTCGCCAGTCCCCAACTCCCCCCGCGGCATTTCTCCAGCACCCCCTTCTCCACTCTCTCTCGATCTTTTTCCTCCGGGGACGAAAATGAAAACGACGACTCCAGAAAGGAGAATCAACAGTCTGCCGTCGACCTCGAGGCTCATAACAACGCTCTGAACCGGAAGCCAGCCAGTCCCAGAACGCCCGCATTTAGCACCCTGGTGACGCCGCGCAGCGCCCCCGTCCTCCGCAGGAGCACCGGCAAGCGCATGCTGAGACCCGACTCGCTCGTCATCTACCGGCAGAAGAAAGAGTGCAAGAGTCCCAACGGCGAGAACGGCAGCGCCGAGCTGAAAGGATACGGCTTCGTCCGCCGCCTCTTCCAGGGCTCCGTGAGGGAGAAGGGTGGCGGCGGCGGGGTCCACAAGATGGTCATCGGTGAGGAGAAAGCGCCCTCGCGGGATGGAGACTCCCGCATGTCGTGGACTAACGATAAGGACACGGGAGACGGCGGGCCGGGAAGCAGGAGGTCCAGCAAAACGGACCAGGAACACGGCCCGGGGTCCGTCACCGGCCCGGGGTTGACCTCTCCACTAGACCAGACCAGCGACGGATCGAAAGGCACCGCGGATGACGGCACGGACGATAACGGTCCGTGGAGACGGGCGTCGCCGCAACCTTCATCCCGCAGGAGTCAGCGCGGGGGCCTGCACCGTTCTAAATCGGACCTGCATCTGGACCGCTCCGGTGCCCGTTCCGAGCAGGAGCGGTTCTTTGACTTTTGCGGCCTGGACGCGGACCTGATCGAGCGCCTCGGCCGGGAGAACTTCCTGTCTGGCGCCAGCTCCGTCGACACGCTTTCGCTGGCTCTGCGCAGCGTTGCCGGGGACGGCGGCACAGAGCCCAGCGAGTTCTCCCGCCACTCCGGAGACGGCTTGTTCCGGGAGGAGCTGGCCGAGAAGCCCCCCGCCGGCGTCTCCATCATAGAGAGGAACGCTCGGGTCATCAAGTGGCTCTACGGCTGCAAAAACGCTGCCTGTGAAGGACCCAGGGAGTCGACGGTTTGATCCAGAAGACCGTCTCCGTTCGAGGACGATTTGCAGTCGCTTTGGTGGGCACGTGGTTCACACCAGCAACTTGGCGGTCGCTCCTTTGAAAAACTTTTTTTCCCCAAATGACTCCCGTCAAAACTATTTATGCATCTGACCGAAAGCTCCTCTTCAAATGGATTGATTCCAGATGCACAATCTGGAACAGAACTGGATTCTGAACTGGCACATAGCTATAATTGTCTGCTCGCGTTGACACCGGAGACTAAACGAGTGGAAAAATGCTGCGTGAAGCGAGCCATGAGTACCTCATTTTCTTTTTTATTATCTTTTTTTTAACGCAGGCGTTGAATCAAACATGCAAGACTCCCCTGTGGGGTTGTTAATGTACTGAAATGAAATTGGGAGAGAGAGAAGGGGGCTGGGGGGGTTGGGGGGTGATTGATTGACTTTATTTTTATATACACTGTCCTGATAATGTCTTGTGACATCATTGATTATCACTCAGGATTACAGGGAACCTCTGGAAAAATAGGATGCGTAGCAGACAGTTTCTTCCAAGAAGTTGTCGTCACCACTCAAAAGCCCCTCTCATATTGCCGAGGTGGAACGGTAGAAGGGGGACGCCGGTCTCCCGTCGTGTCCGAAGTGCGGCCGCACCCATGCGCATAATTAAACGCCAAGTCAACGCCGGCATTCTGGATGACAGCAGCCGCTTCTCAGAATCGGAATCAGAATGCTGGGGTGGGCGGTGCCTTCCGCTACTCATTCTAAGCAGGCGCAATGGTTGGTTGACTTGACCCCCCCGTCCTCATCCGGCGTGCGCTTGGCTTTCGTGACCGTGGGCCTGTGCGAAAGGGGCTTCATACGGAAAGACGGTCAAGACATCGGCTGCATGTGGCGGTTCGGCCTCCCGAGATCAAGCGCAGATTCTACCTCACTTCATTCATCACTGGCTCATCTCTGCCGACCGGTCACTTCGGCGGTACGGCCCACTCGCATGCAGACTCTGGGGTCTTCCGAGGTATGCCGGGGGTTCGGCCGAGGGTCTCACGTGTGACTATTGTGATCCATTACTGTAATGAGTCCCAACCCTGATAGCTTTGCCCTTATTTATCATCTCCCTGGCACACTCCTTCAACCGGACCTACTTTTGCATTTGGTTGCATATTGACAAAATGGCTCATTTTATTGTGGCGGATGTCCATCAAAGACGTTGATTTGACTCTCAAGACATGATTCGCATGCACACAATCAATAAATGCAAATACTGACTGATTTTGACTGTTTCTTTTGTTTTTGGTACTGCAACAGAGGAGGTGCCCGGTACCAAGCCTTAGGGAACACCTTTAGTTGTGAAGGTACAAGAAAAGATTCACTACCACCTCAATGCATCTCTCAAAGCAATATCGGTACACTCAGATCAAAGCGCATCGCTTTGTTTATGAAAACGATGGCGACGGGTGTTCCCCTTTTTAGTGACGTATTAAGTACATACCTGGGTACCGTTTTAAAAGGTCAAGAAAGCATCGTTTGTTTACTTTAAAGGCTTTTAAGGATCCGGGCATCTGGATTTGTACTCTGCCCACACAGTTGTTTGTTTTAGGGACAGAAAACATCAACCTCCTTCCATCTTTTCCTGAAAGCAGCAGCAGCAGCACCAGCAGCGGCGAGACAATTAGCCTTCTGTGTCTGCCTGACATGAGCGCAGGGCCTGCTGTGTGACATCCTGTTTTGGGTTCACAGGACAAGGTTGAAACATATGCTCATGTTTTGGGTTTGGCTTTCTTTCCCCTCCGTCTTTTCTTCGTCTCGCGTCTGCCGCCTTGAAATAAACAAGACACCAGCTGGCCGAGGACAATTCCCGTTGTGTAATTGTAGGGATGGGCTGGATCGGGGCAGTGCTGAGCAAGCACAATCGGAGGGAATAGAAACAGCCTGGAAAGTGTGCAACAAACCATGCATCGCTTTGTTTATGAAAACGATGGCGACGGGTGTTCCCCTTTTTAGTGACGTATTAAGTACATACCTGGGTACCGTTTTAAAAGGTCAAGAAAGCATCGTTTGTTTACTTTAAAGGCTTTTAAGGATCCGGGCATCTGGATTTGTACTCTGCCCACACAGTTGTTTGTTTTAGGGACAGAAAACATCAACCTCCTTCCATCTTTTCCTGAAAGCAGCAGCAGCAGCACCAGCAGCGGCGGCGAGACAATTAGCCTTCTGTGTCTGCCTGACATGAGCGCAGGGCCTGCTGTGTGACATCCTGTTTTGGGTTCACAGGACAAGGTTGAAACATATGCTCATGTTTTGGGTTTGGCTTTCTTTCCCCTCCGTCTTTTCTTCGTCTCGCGTCTGCCGCCTTGAAATAAACAAGACACCAGCTGGCCGAGGACAATTCCCGTTGTGTAATTGTAGGGATGGGCTGGATCGGGGCAGTGCTGAGCAAGCACAATCGGAGGGAATAGAAACAGCCTGGAAAGTGTGCAACAAACCATTCCAGGCTGCCGATCTGGGTTTTCATTCACATAAAAGCTCCACAGGGGGTCCAAAGCTCGACTACCTGAGCCAATTATGACGACTAATGAGAAAAGCTTCTGGAATCCATTTGTCACTTTCCACTTGTTTTGGAGGTACAACATCCAACAGCTCACTTGACATGTGTCCAAGTGGTCGCAAACTGTTCCCACGATTGCTCTCAGCGGGTTTTTGCCTTCCCCTCCCTTCTCTGAGGAGTCGTCGTAAAGTCTTGTCAGAGCAAGTGAACTGCACCAAACCTGGCCTGGTTCTTCCGCACCAGTAGCTTCAGCAGATTGAGGTTGTCCATGTCGGCTTCAGGGGACAGACACGCGAGACTCTTAAGGATTGTCCGGTGGTAGAGATCGAGATCCTACTGGAAAAGATCCTCGGTGACCAAAAAGAATTCCTTTGCTCCTTGCGGATAAAACGTTAGAGGTAGGCACTTGATGGAGGCCATCGATTCTGTGATCAAAATCTGATTTTTTTTTTGTTTTGTTTTGGATTCACACCTTTCCCGAAGTGTCCTGTCGCAAACTGAACTCGACCACTTGGTGGAGAGGTGACTTTGGGATGACTTCATTCAATTGTTGTTAGCTACTACAGACTCCTTTCTTTGGATCATTTAAGTGAAATTGCGGATTAAAACTATCAGTGAAGACTGAAAAAAATTAAAAAGTGCTGTCTGGGCTACAAAAACAGGCCTTGGCCAGCGGGCTTGAGATGAAGCAGACCAAACAACTTGACAAGTGAGTCCAAGGTACAACGAGAACACAAACATAAACAGTTGTGTCAGACTCTCCCCCGCAAAATCCAACAGATGAATCACTCTCACCTGGAGAATGCAATGCTTCAGACTGTCAACATATCAGGGCGCGATGCCATCTCAACTCAACTCAAGTGTATTTCTCGAGCACTTGAAAACAACCACCGCTGTCTACAAAGTGCTGTACATGGAGCAAAAAGAATTCAGACAACAATCAATAAATAACAAAGGTGGTAGAAAGCACAAAAACAGTCCAACTAGATATCAAGTCTCATGCTGAGTCAAAAGCCAAAGAATAAAAATGACGAGTTTGAAAGATGGCCAGCGAGGGGGCTCACCCAATTTTCATTCCAAAGAGAGGGAACGGCGACGGAAAAGGCTGCGTCCCCTCTGAGCTTAGTTCTCGAGACCTCGAATAGCGCCTGGTTCCGTGCAGACCGGAGGCAGTGGGCAGGAAGCTCCGAGAGGTCAGGTAGGGCCAGGCCACTGCAAGATTGGAAAACAAACCAGAGGGTCCTCTTCAAAACAACTCGAAAATGCAGCCAGTGAAGGCATGCTGGAGGAGGAGTGAAGCTCTTACGGGTCCCGGTCAAGAGGCGAGCGGCAGCATTCGGGACCCGCTGGAGACACTTCATGGAGGATTGGCTGACTCCAAAGTCAAGTGCGTTACAGTCATCCAGCCGAGATGTGACCAAGGCTTGAATGACTGTATCTAAAAATGCTCGCCAGAGGATGAGAGGCGCAACTCGAGATAGCTGCCATAGATGAAAGAAGCTGGATTTCACAACGGCACCAATTTGCCGGTCCAATTAAAAACAACAAAAAAATCACTGTCCAGTTTAAGACCCAAGTTGGAGACTGGTGGCTTTAGCTAAGGAGCCACAGGGCCCAAGTCCACAGGATGGGATCTCCAAAAGGTTGACTCCTAACATTAGCAGGAGGGTTTCGGGTAGCAAGAACCATCCAGTTGTTGGGATCCTGTGACGGCGTGGGGTCATAAATCACACCGGTGGACCTTTCCATTGCCTTCTTTCTTGTTGGTGACCTCTGCCTCAAGGTGGGGGGGGCTCGGCCTGGTGGGAAATCTGAGCAGAACGTTTGGGGTGGGGGGGTTACGTCAGATTGAAGCAGGGAGAACACAAGTTTGGTCTTTATTAAGCGCATGGCCTCCCTCAACAGAAATGGAATATTCAAAGTGTTGTGTGAACAAGGCAAATGTGGAGCTTCTGCTTCGTGCAGGAGACTTTTTTTGACTTCATTTAAGTTGTATTTAACTTTTTAAGTACATTTGCATTTAACCTTTAAGATTTTTTTGAAAACATACATTTTAATTGAATTGTTATTGAAGTACCCCATTAGCTGGCATCTATGTATTTCAGTTACACCGAAACATTTTAAAAAGTACAACAATTCTACCGATGAATGACTAGGAAACACAAAAAGTTTGAATAATTTAAAAAAAAATGGAGGTCATGAAATCTTCATGTTCAGAGTGAAAAAGTCTGATTTACTAATTGCAACGTTACTCAAAAAAAAAAAAAAAGAGGTAGAAAAAAAAAGTGAAAAAATTTTCGAACGAAAACAGTTCTTTATTTTGACCAAAAAAAAAGTATGTTTTATGAAAAAGTTGTAAATTATGGGGAAAATGGATGGGGGGGGGGAGGGGAAAGAAGTGACCTCCTCCGTTTTTAGTTCCCATTACATCGTTTTCACGTGAAGTCAACAAAAACTAGAGCGTTTTCACGCTAAAAAGTTTCCCCTTCTCATTGATCTACATTGTTGCACGTAGCTCATCCAACCAAATTGTCCGACAGCTATCAGAAGCACGCTAACCGGATTAGCCTTTTTTTTCCTTTGGAGGGAAATTAAAGAACTGAAAGTCCTTTGTTAGGACAAAGTCGGCATTTGGTGACGAGTGAGCTGTTCAGAACCCGACAGTAGCAACCAAAGTAAATCCGCCGTTTGTTTACCCCTTCTTAGAACACCCAAGAGGAGGATTGACTGGAAAGAATGTTCTCACTTTAAAGTAGGTTAAATCAAGAATCCAACATACCACACTTATCCTGCTAAGCTGTTGGGAAAAAAAAGAAAAGAAAAATGTAGCAGAAATAATATTTTAGCTCATAAAGAGGATCTCCAATTGAGCTTAGCTCCCTTCCGGGGTCACAGAGAGGACACGCTAATAGAAAATAAGCTAGCTTGCGCTGGCCTTACGTCGACCATTGTCACTTTTCTTTTTTTTTTTTTTATGT